GTATTTTAAGTGTGCATCTGCAGTTGGGAAGTGGAGAAATATTAACAGCAATCTTGCCACACCTGATTTACTTTTTTTTCCTCTCCTCTCCTCTCCTCTCCTCTTCTCTTCCCTCCCCTTCCTGGCAGCTTCAGACTAATGAGGAAGAAGATGGGAGGAGCAGCAGACTGAAGAAACGCTGACTTTTCAGCTGGACTCGTACCTATTCCAAGGAACGCTTGTGCACAATAACTCACCTTTGATAAGAATTAAAAAAAAAAATCACAACATCCACAAACCTAAAAATGATTTGCCATAAACCTTCAGAGGAAGCAATACTACAGAAAATTAGTTTTAATCAATATTTATTACAAAGCCAGAAAGAAGGAATCCAAGTTTCAGAGTACATTGACTATCTCTCATTTTTTTTGTGTGTATACATATATATATACACATACAATATAAGATGAACCAGTATAGATTTTGCAAGTTTTCACCTATGATTAGAAAAATAATCTAAAGTTATTGTCAGCAGAAGCCCTGTGAAGCAGGAGCTCACACTAGACCGAGTTAAGTACCTGCAGGACTTGCCGCTGGGCTTTTTCACCCTGTCTTTCCTTTCCAGCACTTAAGCTTCCAGTCTGGCTAAAAATATCTTCCCCATCATTCCTTCAACTCTGCTGCTATTCTCCTCCCTCCAGCTCATGCAGCCTCAGTAAGGGACAGAGCATAACCAGGAGAAAGAGAGGAAGGGGAAGGAGAGAGCACAAGGCATTAAATCCCTTGTCCACAGGGGACGGGAGTGCAAGGAGAGAGCTGTAAAAGCATGCCTGGGTCTAGCTTCTGGCCCTCCCATGCCTCGCCTCCTTTACCCACCTGAAACGTAAAAAGTCCCCCTAAGAACATTCAAAAAAATCAGGATTTACAGAATTAGCAGTAGAGATACTGAATAATACAAACCCCAATTTGAATCTACAAGGTTATTTAGTTTTTCACACAACCAAATTTTTCTGCCTAATTTCGGCCTAATAAATTAGAAAGCAATTTGAGAAAGACAAGAGACTTACACAAACAGTTCTGCTACTTCAATACAATCACCCCCTCAGCAAACTTCTGCCGGAGGTGTTTGGCATCATCCTATTTTAGAAAGATGTGCAGCCACAACTCATGTTAGAGTTGGGCTTGCACTCAGGTTTACAGGGAACAGCAGTTTGTTCCTTTACCAGAAATGAGTAATAATTTAGTGATAAGTCATTAAAGATCATAAGGGCTGTAGGGCCTTCAGATCAGCTGCTGTAGCTGGAAGCCTGACAGCAGAAAACAGGCAGCCCATCTCGATGGCCGGACAGATGCCGCCCTCAGGAACCAGCTTAAATTCCAGTGGCCATGGCGCAGACCTCCCAGCTCTGCCCTTCAACGCCCCCATCCTCCCCCTCAGGATTTCAGGTCGAGGTGTTCCCAAACATATGGAAAGATGCTTGGAGCCAGAACGGGCTTCATTTTACAAATCATTTCTGCCAACAAGCACAGTTTCATCAGCTGAGGCTCGCAACGTGGCCGTGCAGGCTTCCTGCGGCTGCGAGGCAGAGAGGTGCCTGCCTGCGATGGTCTGCAGCCTCACCTGGCGTCGGGGCCAGGCCTGGCTCTGCAAATCGCTGCCCAGAGATGAGAAGCAGCAGAGAAATGCAGCGTTGCACCTTGCCCAAAGCAAGAGGCCAGACTCCGCTTGCTGAAGGCCTGTGATGCTATCCCACCTGCATGTACAAAAACACTGCCTAGGCTGGGCAGCCATGGGCTCATGGAGGCAGAAGAGGAGGATGAGGGCAGGGGGAACCTGCCACCACTGTGCCACCTGCACGGCCTCCCCGGGGACAGCCAGGGGATGTGGCTCACCGCCATGGAGCTCCCGGCAAGGCACGGGGAGGCAAAGCCGGCCCGCGGCCACGCGCAGCAGCTGTGCAGAGGGGAGGGCCGGTCTCATTCGCCTCTCTTTTAATTAAAGATCAGGCCTCACACATCAAAGTGCAGCTCTGGCTTCAAAACTTCCCCAGACCTTGCAGCTCTTCAGACCCAGGAATTTCCTTCAGATGTGTGTGTGTGTTGCTACCTTGCTACGACTCTGACAGTGCCATTGTAATCACAGCACAAATCCTACAGGAGTACCTCAGCCAGCTGGGGTCTGAAGGTCTGGTCGCTGCCAGCAGAGGGGATGTTGCTGTGATGGGAGAACACAGCCAAAAAAATGCCCCGCAGACGCCCCTGCTCCCCTTCCCTTCAGCCAGCACCGCTCCCGTCTGACACCCGAAGTCCCCTCTGAGTCCTCACTGAGCATCCCGCACAAACCTGCCCGCATGGGGACTGTCACCTGCACTCAAACTTCCAGCAATGCCCCCAGTTTTGAGTGTCCGACAACACCAGAGCACTGCACACCTGCTGCTTCACTCCAAAGCAAGAGCAGCGAGGCAGGAGATGGCAGCACGAGCTCCGGGCTCCCCAAAACCCCATTTTTTGCCATTTCCCAGAGGGAGACCGCCAGCAGCCGGCACCTCAGAGCGCTGTTACGGCATGCAGCCAGAGCCTGGCGGATTTCTCTCCCCCTTACACAGCCGCAGCCCCGTCCCACAGCAGAGCACTCGCCACAGCAGCACCAGCAGCCGCAGCATCGCCCGGCCACCCCCGACGGCACCCGGGGAGACGGCTCCGGGGCTCGGGGGCTGCTCCCTGCGGGCCCCCGGGACTTCCTCGCCACCTCCCGGCGACAAGAGCGAAACCCGGGGCCGGGTCCCCCCCCTTCGCCGCTGCCCTCCCCCTGCCCGCCCGCTCCCCGCAGGCCTCGGCGCGGCTGCCCCGGCCCGGGAGGAGCCGGGGCCCGGCGAGGGGCGGCCGCCGGCCCTGGCCGTACCCGAGGGTCTGCGGGTGAGCCTGATCACCTCCTCGGCGAGGCCGCCGCCGGCCGCCACGCTGCCGTTCATGCTGCAGCCCCAAGGTGAAGTCGGCTCCCGGGGCGGCCGCTTTCGTTTCCTCGGCCGCCGCGGGGCCGCGCCGCGGAGCGCTGGGAGTTGTAGTTTGTGTTGTGTTTTTTTTTTTTTTTCCTCGCGAGCACGCCCTCGGTGCCGGGCTGGAAGGCAGCAGGGGCACGGTGACGGGCTGGCACCCCCAGCACTCTGCCACTGGTGGTTTTGGGTGCAAAAAGGGAAATGACAAGAGGCAGGCGGGGCTCCGAGGGGCGCACAGGGAGCCCGCAGCGCTTGGGTTGCTTCTTTCAGCTGCCACATCCTCCTTGCTTCTTGCACCTGAATTATGCTTGTTAGTTCTCTGGGAAAACAAAACTCAACTAAAATAATAATAATAAAAAATAAAGAGAAATAATTTTTAGATTATTTTAGATAAAATAATAAAAGAGGAAAGAATAAAGCTGTGGGTTAGTCAAAGTGGAGTTATCTCGCCTCTCGGCATAAATGCAGGGGACTAAGTTTTCTTCACCTGCCCCAAACCATCCGTGTTGTACCAAGATACGATGCAGCATGCTGGACAAACAATGCGTCACCTCAGGTCACCAGGCAAATATAGGTAACAGTTTAAGGACCCCTTCGCTTTAGACAAAGAGCCATGACGAGCTCTGAATCACATCTTTGTATTTCACATCCAACCATAATGTAACCAGGCCTTTTTGGATGAGAAACACAATTGTTTAAAAAACGTGTAGAAAAATGCATATTCGAAAAGCATGTGTCATACCTGGGAGTCTGAAAGTTTTCCATTGGCACCTGTTGAGTAACCAAATCTTTCTTCCCAAATGTTGCGAGTCTTGTGTTACTTATCCTGCCTTTAGAGAACGTTTGCTAAAAATATGGGTTTTGCTTTCCAAATAGATATAACCATTCTGGTAGCAGACAAGTGCACTATAGTCCTTAGTCCAAAAATGCCAGACATTTAAAATAAAATTTTCACCATAAATCTGGACTACAGATTCCTCTTTATGCTGATCTGGTGGAAAAATCTAGATATTGCTATAATATACATGATAATAACAGTAATAAAATCTATTAGTATCATCTAATCATCTATTAGTATTTTCAGATCCTTTTTCCATGCTTTTTCATAAATTTGACAAATTTTAAATCTTGTTAAAAAATTGAAAATATGCTTCTGCATAGCATGCTGTAGAGCTATGACATTCAGTAACTGCTTACAAAGCAATCACATAGTAAAGCAAGAGAAAGCTCCTGAGCTAGTTAGATAAAATATCTATCAAATATTGTGGGAATTCTGGCTGTGGGGGCTAGCAGAATAGTTCCAAGTGTTTTAGAAATCCAGTTAACTTGTGCAGTCTCACAGACAGCTTTTTTTTTTTTTTTTTTTTTTTCTCACAATAATAAAATACATAGCACTTCTCAGAAGAACCTGTAGGCAAGGTATTGTGAAGCGTCCAGAAAAAAACAGATGTGTTCTCATGAAACGTCAGGTTTGGTGTCACTGTATTTTTGACATACATGTATATCTGATGGTCTGATGGTTCAGAAGTGTAACATTTACTGGCATGATCTGGATAATGCTTCTCTACCGTCTCACAAAATGAAGAACCCACTCCCTACCGACTACCTTCCTCCTGAAAGGTTCCTCCCTGGAAACAGTGTGAAGGTTTTATGCCAGGTATATACCTGCATCTCACCAGAATATCCGTTTCTAGCCTGCCTGCATGTCTCAGGTGCATCTTCAATGAAGAGACTGCAAGAGCAATTCTTTTTTCTCTTTGGCTATTACTGGCTGACAGAAGCAAAATGTTCACAAACACCTCTCCCTGAATTGAAGAAAGCATTAGATGAAGGAGTAAAGTAGAGCAAACCATTTATTTACACCTGTTTTAAAAAGTTTACATTTGTAAACAGTTGATATGGAGCATAAAAGCTATACCTACTGTTTGCCTAACTACTTCGAGAGCTCAAAGAGCAAATCAAAAAACTAGCATACCTTACTGCCAGCATTTATTAACTTAAAATAAACAAAGATAACATTTACTCTGTATTTAATAAAATTATATTAGATTATAACTATTCAGAACGTGTTGAATTACTTTGATGAGTTATCAGCTGGCTCTGCTCAAGGGTAATTGGAGATTTTCCCAGGAGCATCCACAGCTACAGCTTTGGAAGAACTACTATCTTCTTCCACGGCACCAACCTTTTTCCCTCCTAAGCCATTCCCCTACTTCCTGTTTAAAATATATGGTAAGGGCAACTCCAAGGACAAAGAGAAAAAGAAAGCTAAATACTGCTACTCCTATTTTTGCTCTCTGAAAAACCTCCTCGGGTGGAGCAGGTCCACTGTCAATGCTACCTCCAAATCCTTCCCACTCACAATCTGGAGGAGCCCATCCATACCTGCAGTGACAGTTCTTACGATTGTTACACACTCCTCTGTTATGGCACTTTGTTACATTGCAGTCATAGTTCAGCACGGACATATTGGTACATGTCCTTTTGATACAAAGCATGTCACTACCACATGGCGTGCCATCTTCCACAGCCCCTAGGTCAGCTGTAGCCATCCCTACGTGGTAGTCAAGGCCCCAACACTTTTTACCTTCCTCAGGGGTTTGGACTACTGTTATGTGGTTTTGCAAAAAAGGCAACCTGTGTATGTTTTCACACTGTATCCTACCACATAACATATTCTCAATGCTGCATTGTATAAACTGAATATTGTCACGAATACCACAATTTCCGAAACGGTCACCTTCAGTATTCACTACTGAAACAATCTAAAGGAGCAACCCTAGCTTGTTTGCCAAAGAGACGCTTGCATTGTTCATCGTGGGAAGTACATTTTCCTCGATAGCAATAGGAACCATCTTTGCAAGGGGTTCCATCTTGCATGTACAAGTCTGGCTGGCACCACGGGGAAGTCCCGTTGCAGTACTCTGGCAGGTCACAGATGCTGGTACTTGCTCTGCACAGTGTTCCTGCTGGACTGACCTGACAGCCCTTGCAACATTTTCCAGAAGCACAAACTGAACCTGCAGTTAATGTACAGTTGGGGTGACAGCAAGGATCCTTTCTGCAGCTTGACCGTGAACCACAGTCACATTGCTCTCCGCTTTCTACTATCTTATTCCCACAGTATTCACGCTTCAAGGTGTAGTAGCTGCCAGGTGCCGGTGGCTGACGCAGGCAGGTACCACCACTCCCAAGCAAGTCAAAGTAGTATTTGTAACTGCAGTCACTGAACGCATCGGTGTCGACTTCGGTTTCATACATAATGCATCTCTTCCGCCTGCATTTGCAGTACGGTTCGTCATGGCGCATCCCAAGATTATGCCCCAGCTCATGGACAAACGTGATAATGAACGAGGACAACTTCTTGTTGGTGAAGGAATCAACTGCTGCTGCCCACTGTCTATCACATATGGACCCCACATATGCCAACCCCAGGCTACTTCCAAAGCTCTGATATGCAAATAAGTGAGCGGTATCGTGGCGCATCCGTGGATACAGGTCTGATTTTCGCCATTTGTTAAAGTCTCCAAGTGCCTTGCTTACAGAGTTAGTGATGTTTATAAAATTACTTTTGGTCCAGATCTCCAGTCCCACAAGGAACAGTTGAACGGAAAGCTGTTCATACAGGGAGTCCCCGATATTGATGACTTCTATGACTTGCCTCAAGACTTCGGATTCATTCCTGCCTGACCTCACAAACCGCACGTTGTCCACGACCACCACTATCTTCACATACCTGATGTGCGTCCACCATTCCTTCAGCATGTACTCGTCGTCCACCAAGGGGGCCTGGAGCCATGGCAGAAAACCCTTTTGGTACTGCAGCTCCTCCGGGGTCAGCCCACAGGTGGGGCCCATGGGGCTGTCAGACGCCTCCATGCGGTAGAGGAAGTGCCGAAAGGCCGGATCGTTGGGGATGGGCTCGATCTCGTAGGTGCCACCTTCCACCCACAGCACCCCACGGAGGCCCCTGCCACAGGTGCCGAGGGCCACCAGGGAGCCGGGGCTTCCCTGCACCTCTCCCTGGTAGAAGCAGTCGTCCTGCACGAAGGGGTGCTCCTCCCGGCGCGCCCCGTCCTCGCCGTAGGTGACCAAGGTGAAGGGCCGGGAGACCAAGCCCCTCCTGGGCCGTAGGCGCAGGATCCGCGGCCGCCCGTCCACCTCCAGCCAGTAGGAGACGGTCAGGGGGTTGGTGTCGGCGCGGGGGCTCAACTGCCGTGGCACCGTCACCCACATGCTGGTGATCTGCAGCGTCCCAGGCTCGCCCCCCTGGGCAGCGGGGCACCCCACCAGCCCCAGCAGCAGCAGCAGCAGCGTCCCCATGGCCACCGCCTGGCGCTGCCCCGTGCCTGGCTTCGTGCGGGGCCCGAGCCTGGAATGGAGCCACCCCCACATCCCCAACTGCCCCTCAGTGCCTGCCCTCCCCCTGTGAGGAACTGAGGCCGAGCGGCAGCATGGCGGCCTCCTTCGCCTCCCGCCTCGGGAAATGGTGCCCCAACACCCGGGGTACATCTCGGAGGGCCGTGAATGTGCCTCAAGACAGCCAGACGCTGCTCTGCCAGCACGTACAGAGGCTTTTGTGGAGGAATAAATAGAATTAGCCCAACACAGGCACGTTCCCAGCTTTTTATAATCCTCATTTTCAAACGGATGGGTATTTCTCCTGTGCAGGTGTAAGAGCTCTGCATAAGGAGGAGCCCCAGCTGAGTTTCACACTCCTAGTCATTTATGTCTGCAGAGAGCAAATAAATCATTTGGTTAGACCACAAGGGGAAAAAATCTGTTGAAATAGCTCAAAGGTTGGCTTTGGCTTTGTTCGCTTTTTTATTAAAAGATCATTTGTGAGTGAAGATCAGGAACAGTCAATTTTGACTCAACAGAGTGTGAAAAGAGCTTAGGGCCTGAAATGGAAAAGCGAAGAAATGCTGGATAGGAGGACATAACACTCCGTGGTGCCTTTTCATAGCCTGTCTTACTATAGCTAGTGACACACCTACCCACACACACAAAAAAAAAAAACAGAATAAAGGATGAATCTGATTCCACTAGGGTTGATTGAATAGAAGCAAACTCCTAGCTCCAGGTATAAACCCATAAAGCCTACCAGTTGCTATGTATGTACAGCAATGCGATCAATTACAAATGCCACCGGTGCAGCTGTGGTTTTCTTACGTCGTGGCCTTTTCAAATGTTTGTGCTTGTTGAGCACAGGGAAGAGGCTGCTTGCATGTGCATCTACCACCTGGCTGCCATCTCAGTGTTAGGGAACCGCTCCATCAAGATACAGCCCTAAGACAGTGACCTGGACTGTGGTAAGGCAGGTTAAGTACAGCTACAGCTATGCATGCTTTTTGGCAGGTAGTGCTGGGATTCAACGTACCAACAGCTGTTATCTTTTAGGAACTCTTTACAACTTTCTTTTCAGCACTGGACACATTTCCATGCATTCATTTTGAGTGTGGCCAGCATTGATAGTGCACACCCAGTAATAAAACACTAGATTAAAGGAATGAAAATAGGAGGATGTCTGCTTCTATCAGAATCTTTCTTGATAGCGATAGATAACCATAATTGTACATTGTTTGAAATTGTTTATTACCACTTTACCTAAAAGCAAACAAACTCATGGCCTAAGTTAATCTTAGATTAATTTTCTTATTAGAGTTACCTCTAAAACTAAAGAAATTATTTTCTGTGAAGTCTTCTATGTGCAGTTAGCTGTTGAATAATCGTCCACCACTTTTCACACTGGTTTTGCATTCCAGGGCTGTGAACTGTGTCACTTTATGCCTCTTGAAATAAACATAATTCAGACCACAGTAGCTGTAACGGAAAATCCTATTACATAATCCGTGTGCAGTGCTATTTTTAAATTCATGCTTCTGCTGTGTGACCATTAATTATAGGACAGCCCATATTAAATCAGTCTCCCAACTTGCTAGATGTACGTCCTACCCCCATAAGGTTCTTACTACATTTTTTCTCTTTTAATATACACATAACTGCACAGTTAGGACTTGAAAGTATCTGGGTTCAACTGTTGAACTCATAAGCACATTATTTTGGGGGCAGGAACAAGTCAACAGTTTGACACTGCGTTGAGCATCTAAAGCAAGCCCTTTGGCATCAAGAGCACATAAAAAGCAATGACGTTTGCATTCAGACTAATAGAACCTTGCACTTCTGTACTCTTATTAAGCGAACAGTAAGTGGGAGGGAGAGAAAGATTCCTATTATATGTTAACAAACAGGTTGGAAGAAAAAAAAGGTGACTGACCTTATAGTAGAGAGCATGGAAGAAAGATTGCATCAATCCACAGCTTCTTCAAGAGCAAAAACATTTGTTGAGAAGGTGTAATTGGCTTTCTTAGTATTCTGCAGTTTTCTCTTTTTTTTTTTTTCTTCATCTTGTAGTCCCCTAAAAGTTTCAGTGGAGGTGCAAGCTACTATGAAACAATCTCAGCAAGAGCTTTACTTTTTTCTCACTTACCTGCTGTTGGGTCTTTAGGAACAGGGTACAGACACTCAGCAGTCTTGCGGACCACACATTGAAATCCACTGTTCTGGCAGTAAGAAATTAAACCTTCTGATTGTTGGGGTCAATAGTACTACATCATACCCTGTCCCCACCATTCACCCATCCATGAGCCACATTAGGCTGCAGCAGAATACTCATCAAGTGACCACTGGTTTGTTCTGTGTGTGAATACAGGACCAAAATAACACTTGATCAAAAATTCACCACTTTCTCCAAGAACTGTCTAAAATGCCTGATTATCACAATTAAAAATATTGGGGGAAAAAATTAAGAAATATGTCACATCAGCTTTTGTTCAGAAGCCATCTGTCTGCTCAGTGAAGCCACAACCTATTTGCATAACAAATCTTAATTTTCTTCACAGGGAACGCCTCATCTAAAAATAAAGCTCGTATCTATTCCTCGTAAGGGGGTGTCGAGAGGCAGGAGACCTTTTCTCCATTAACACCAGCGACAGGACCCGCGGGAACGGGGTTAAGCTGAGGCAGGGGAAGTTTAGGCTTGACATCAGGAGGAAGTTCTTCACAGAGAGAGTGGTTGCACACTGGAACAGGCTCCCCAGGGAAGTGGTCACTGCACCGAGCCTGACTGAATTTAAGAAGAGATTGGACTGTGCGCTTAGTCACATGGTCTGAACTTTTGGGTAGACCTGTGCGGTGTCAAGAGTTGGACTTGATGATCCTTAAGGGTCCCTTCCAACTCAGGATATTCTATTCTATTCTATGATCTACCCCCCTTTGTCTTTTTCCCATTGCCTATATCCAACTACAGCTTTCTTTGGCAAACAACATGTACAGACTGTCCAAATGACATATAACTTTTTTGACTACCAAAAGGTTACCAAAATAAGAAATATGGAGGCAGGGTGGCAAAGAGGAATGAATGAGCAAAGTGCATCACCTGGTCACACTTTACTTGGTGAAGAGCAGAAAGGACAGTATTTATGTCGCATTTCAGATACCATTAGTTTTGCATAATGAACTGAGATAGCAAAACTCCCTCTCTTCCTGTAACGTGGCCAGTTTTTTGCAAATGTGTGTGCATATGTATATACTCATTTGTATGCCTCTCTGTTCATATGGACATGTATGCAGACATTAATATGTACCTCCAGGCTCTCAGGACAATATTCATATTAGATTTTTTGGTCATTTTTAGTTCCTGCAACTACCTGATTGAAACCTAAAAGCAGAGAAAAATTATAGATCCATTGTACAACCAAATACCTCCTTTATGCAAAAGAAAGTGACACACAGTACAAATTTTGGAACTGCTTCCTTATTTCCTTTCATTTATAAGCTTTACAAATACTGAATGTCCTCTGAAGGACTTTGGACTTCAGTGCTCAGGTTCCAAACAAGAGACACTGTAAAAACACCAGAGAGAAAAAAAAGACTTAGGTTCTCACACACTGAGAAATGTAACTGACTAGGTAACAGTTTAACAGCTTTCTGACAGTATATTACTTGGAGTTTAGCAGTAATAACTGATATAACGTCACTTCAGCAAGTTAATATCAAAGCTCATTTAACTGATAAAATTGAGAGTATCTTGTCAGCAAATAACAGGATCAGAAAAGATTTCAATTCCTGACTCCCAACTACAATAAGCCTTCAGCACTGCAAGACAGCTAAGAAATTGACACATTCATTGATAATGCTCCCCATTGCTTTATATTATAATCTGTGCTTTTTACAGCTCTTGATTTTTGTTTGTTTTTCAGGAAGAGATCGTTCCCCTCAAAGAGGATTATCATATTCTAATTGTCTTTTTCATGCATGGAAGCCATTTTCTACCCTCTCAATAGCTTAGATGTTGGCACTAAGACTGGATCAGACCAGAAGTCCATCCTTTTTAATGCCCTGTCTGACACCGGCCAATACCTGGTCATCTGCAGAAAGCAAAAACACTGTTACAGGAGGCAACCATGAGGACAGACTGCCCCCTCAAGTTTCACCCTCATCTCTACATAATCATAAACTCTGAGCATGAAGTATGATTCATTTCAAATGTTAATTACATTCAGCTTCATTAGCTTGTCCCTGTATACCTGTAATGCAAAACAGAACAAGGTCTCTCCACTTCCCTGCTTACTTTGCAGCACTCATTTAATTTTATAAAGACTCAATATTTGTCTTTTCTTTCCTAAGACACTGAAGTCTTGGTCCTACCAGTGACTTCATGGATTTTTTTCTCCTACTCATATTATTGCCCTTCTTCAAAACCCTGTACTTTGGCAGAATTCATTTTCTGGAATTTGAACTGTACAACATAATTTATTTCAGGGGAAACCCAGTTACTAATAGAATTCTTTACTTGTAGCATGTGTTCCAGCATCTATTTTTGACCATTTTGGCATGCCTTTAGCAATAGGCAAGATATCTTTCCTTTGCTGGTAATTTCAAATCTTTCTTTGATGTGCAAGTAGTTAATTTTCCTCCTAAAAAAAAAAAAAAAAAAGCTAGATCTTCATTACAGTGCAATCTAGTCATCTTCTTAACATAAGGTTTTTCCAAATAGCTTCCAGGTTCTTACTGATACGAATAACCACATAGAACTTTAACTGCCTTAACAGCCCTTTCCAAGAACTTTACCTGGATATCAAAAACTCGGTAGGGACTCTTGAATTTCCTCATCACTCGTGCCTCATTTCTGGAGATGTCCCCTTTCCACCACGTGGGTAGACAAGGCTTTGGCTTTGACACTTCTTGAGCTCCTTCCTTTCAAGTAATTTCTTTAATATAAGAAAGAAGCAACATCCTTTTCTTAGTGTATTCATGCTACCTGGTAATTATTCAAGCCTAAATAATTAGTTCTGTCTTGTATTGAGCATTCCAGAATAACTGTTCTCTCTATATATATATTGATTTAATAGTTCATACTACCTTATTATCTACTTCCATCAATGTTTCAATAAATAGCTGTTCAAAATTCACCCATGTGATAAATATTTAACCTAATACACACTTAAGTATACTGATATATCAATTCTATTTCTAATATCTGCACCAACAGTGAACAGCTATCAGCTTATTTGTATTTCCTGTTACAGCTGTGGATTACAGGACAAAAATTACATGGGTCTTTCCATCATTCAATAGCTATCCAGTCAGAACTCTTTGATAGTTACTGAACAGAAATAAAGTCTCTCTCATAACCTCAAAATAAATCTGAGGCAACAATCTAAGCCTATCTTAGTCTTCCTTCCTACGTACATTCTATATGCTATGTACAGCCCTTTTTGTCGTTTACTGCAAGAAAGCAGGTTTGGGTAAAGAAAACAAGGATTGCTCTACTGTTTTGACAAAAAAAAAAAAAAAAAAAAAAGAAACCAGCAGTCATTTCTTTGCAATCAATGGTTTCTGTTTTTTTTTTTTTCTTCTGCAAGCCAAAAAAATGATTTCTGTAAGCAGCATACCTAAGTAGTAAAGTGCATTACTGTTAGCAGTTCTTCTCCACTGCCCTACCTCCTCAGGTCTAGAAGGCAGATGACTAATCAAGGTGGCAATATGCAGCAAGAAGGTGCTAGAAGCACAGATGAAGAGGTATGTAACTGATATTTGAGTGACAGCGTGGTAAAAAGGAGAAATATAAACAGTCTCACTCTGAGTTTGCAACCGCAAGAAAATTTAGCCTGTTTTATACCATCATAAGTCTCCCTCAGAAGTCTAGATTTTATTATAAAACACTAGCTAAGCCTTCAAGTAAAATAAGCGCCCAAGAATGTATCAGAGGCTTAGAGCAGTTTGGTATCTAATAACACAGACTTGAGTCTCCAGCTATCAAATTTCTGATCTTTATCCCAAGCACACTAAAGGCACAACAATTTATAGCAGACAGCCTAAATCATTTAGTTGGAACTTGCCTTGCTCAAAATAGCACGATATATTCTGATATTTGAGAAAAAAAAATAGTAATGCCAGCACATATGGCATATTTGCTACTAACAAAGTATTTAAGAAAGGCATCGTAGCAGCCAACATTTTATTTGCTGAGGATTCAGATTTTTTTAATAAAAGTTTTTTCTTTTTACATAGGAAACCAAGACAGAAGGGAGGCAGGGGTTTGTAGCTTTCAGAAGGCTGCAAAATACATCCCTGTAAGACCTATTCCCAGGAGTCAACATCCAAAACAGGACAAATACTGAGAACACCTTCTTTGAGGCAACTCACATCCTCCATTAAAATTTTTGTGACAGGCTTCTACAGAAAAAGCTGTTACAGGGACTTCAATCTCTGAATTGTCAGTCTTAGTTGAAGAGCTTAAATATGAAGAAAGGGGAGCAGGAATCTGCAGTTTTCCAGCTACTAATCCAGACGTGTAACAACTTCTCCCTTCACTGCAGTCTCATCCGTTTTTCAGGTGGTCCTTTAGCGCTAGCAGTCTGCTGAGCATTCTTTACAGTCTCTTTTTCCTCTTGCTTGACAGCTTCAGGGGCTGGTTCTGGTTCCTTCTTGATTTGATCCACTTAAGAAGTAACAGCAAAACAGTGTTAAACCTCCAATTTCCATTCCTAAAATATTCTTCAGAGTACTTAGAAAATATTGTTGATTTCAAAGGGACAAAAATAATTACAAAGGCTTAAGAACAACCATGGACTAAACTCACACCTATACAGATTTTAAAAAGTGGAATGGTTTGAAATCTAGTTCATGCTTTTCCTGTTTCAAGGTTCCTAAAGAAGATCACCTAAAAGCCTTCACATGCTTTCCTAAGCTTGTAGCACTTTGCTAAAATCACTAGGATGCCAGACTGACCGAACTATTCCTTCCCTTTTACCCTTTCCCTACCTGGTGCTTTCAAAGACCATTTCCTGCATTTGGACTGGTAGGCAATACAGTTTGTACAGATGAAAAGGGCAAGACATTTTCAAGATAGGGAGCAGAATACTCGTTTCTTCAATTTCACTCTGGCTGTCAGAGAGAGCTCTGCTCTTACCTAGTACTTTGCACAGCGGGGCAATGCCAGAATCCCTAAGCACCTCAGTAGAAATGGTGAGGAGCTCATAGAGCAACTGAAAGACACTGCTACATATAGCCTTTTTTTTTAATATAATAAATATTTTGTGGTAATATTAGAATTTTACCTGGGATAGGTTTTTCTCCAGGCTTTTGCTGTGGAGAAAGAAAAAAAAAACAGAAAATCAGTGGAATCAGTCATAGTTCTTGACCCTTCCTAGTATTCGCTTAAGAATACACACCAAGCAATGTCCTGTTACACGTGAGTTGAGGGTAGAAGGGAGGGCTGTTGAACACATCACTAAATACACTTTAAAAAATTAAGCTGATTTTGTTTAAACAAAAATATTCATTTTTTTAATGTTGTTTTTCCCCTGACAGCTGAAAAGAACTAAATCAAAATATGCTCAGATATCCCGTCCTTCCCAATATCTGAAGAGCAGTTTTTCAAGTTGTTATAAAATCATTTTCATTGCTGCCAACCAGAAGACTTGATAGA